TTTTTAATTTTAGCCATTCTAATCAATGTGCTTTTTGTTCGTATTTAAATTGGATTTTTTCTTCCTGTTGAGTTTTGAGAGTTCTTTATATATTCTGGATACAAATTCTTTGTTGAATATGTAATTTACAAAAATTATCTCCCTCTCTGTAGCTTGTCTTTATATTATGTTAGATAACTTTCTAGAGCAGAAGTTTTTAATTTAGATAAAGTCCAATTTGTCCCTTTTTACTTATTGGGTTGTATTTTGATGTGATATCTAAGAACTCTTTACCTAGCCCTAGGTCACAAAAATTTTGTCCTTGGGGGGGGTAAAAAGTTTTATAGTTTTATATTTTACATATTCACTTGAGCTAATTTTTATATGAAATGAGAGGTTTAGGTAAAAATTCATTTTTTCCTTTATATTTGGATGCTCAATTGTTCCAACACAATTTGTCAAAAAGGCTCTCCTTTTCTCATTGTGTTTTCTTTGAACCTTTGTTAAAAATCAGTTGGTCATGTTTGTATGGAGCTATGTGTGGACACTGTTCTGTTCCATTGGATTATATGGTTCCTCCAATTTTCTTTTTTTATATTTGTTTTTAATAGTTTTGGCTATTTTAGATTTTTTGCCTTTCCATATTAGTTTGAAAATAAGCTTGCTATAACAGCAAAAAATCTGGGATTTTGATTGGAATTGTGTTAAATCTGTAGACCAGTTTGGGAGAGAATTGACATTTTTACTATTTTGAGTTTTCCAGTTTGTGAACTCAGTATATCCTTCTATTCACTTATGTCTTCTTTGACTTACTTTATCAGCATTTTGTAGTTTTTAGCATGCAGATCCTGTAAATGTTTTATCAGATTTATATCTAAGTAATTTGTTTCTATGGAGCTATTATAAATGGCATTATTTAAAAATTGGGGGGGTCCAAAGTGTTCATTGTTTAGTATATAGAAATATAATTGATGTTGGCCTTGTATTTTTTGACCTTGATAATTTCATTTATTAGTTCCAGGAGGGGTTTGTTTGTTTGTATTCCTTGGAATTTTCTGTGTAGACAGTAATGTCATTTGCAAATAAGGACAGTTTTATTTCTTACTTGCCAGTCTTATCAGTCTGGAGTTATCTCTTTTTTAAATGTTTGGTAGTTTTCATTAGTGAAGACATTTGGGCCTGAAGAATTCCTTTTTTTTTTTTTTGAAAGTTTTTAACTACAAATTAAATTTATCTGATACTTCTGTGCAGCTTATCCATATTATTGTATGTGAATGTTTGTAGTTTGTCATTTCAGGGAGTTCTTGAGCGTATGGGCATAGAGTTGCTCACAGTACTTCCTTGTTATTTAAATATTTGTATGATCTATTGTGAAATCTCCCTATTTGTATTGATATTGAGAATTTATGTCTTCTCCCTTTTTGTCTTTGTCAGTCTTGCTGTATTAAACTTTTCCAAGAGCCAGGTTAGGTTTTAATTGATTTTCTGTATTTATTTGTTCTTTTCAATTTCATTGATTCCTGTTCTTTATTATTTCCTTCCTTCTACTTTTTAGTTTGCTCTTCTTTTTCTAGTCTCTTAAGATGAAAGCTTAGATTATTAATTTTAGACTCTTTTTTCTAATGTAAGTATTTAATGCTATAACATCCTCTAAGTAATGCTCTAGTTGTATCCCACAAATTTTGATATGTTGTTTTATTTTTGTTCAGTTCAAAATATTTTCTGTTTCCCCTCTGACCCATAGATTACTTACAAGTGTGTTTTGAAATTTCCTTCTCTTTGGAGAGTGTCTTGTTATCTTTCTGTTATTGGCATCTAGTCTAATTTTGTTACAGATAACAGCCTTTTGTATGATTTAAAATTTTTTGTAAAGGTTTCTTTTATGATCCGGTGTATTGTTTTTCTATTGCTAATTTAGCAAATTACCACAAACAGTGGTTTAAACAGCACAAATTTATTGTCTTAAGTTCTGGAGCTCAGAAGTTTGAAGCCTGTTTCACTGGGTATCAGCAAGACTGTTACTTCTTTCTGGAAGTTCAATGGGATAATTTATTTCCTTGTTCTTGCCACCTTCTAAAGATGCTCACTTTCCTTGACTCCTGGCCCCTTACAGCAGTGGCTTACTAGTTATGCTATTATAGTTAAAGAATGTTTCTTTCTACTATTTTTTTTTTACTTTAATTGGTGTGTTTAGATCTTTTATATATATATTTTTTAAGATTTTATTTATTTATTTGAGAGAGGGAACACAAGCAGGGGGAGTGGGAGAGGGAGAAGCAGGCTTCCTGCCGAGCAGGGAGCCCGATGTGGGGCTCGATCCCAGGACCCCGGGACCATGACCCGAGCCAAAGGCAGACGCTTAACGACTGAGCCACCCAGGCGCCCCTAGATCTTTTATATTTAATGTAATTATTGATATATTTGAATTTACCTCTACCATTTTCTTACTCTTTTTTTCCATTTGTTACCCCGTTTTTGTTTCTCTATTTTCCCTTTCCTGCCTTCTTTGGGAGTATTTGATTTGTGTGCCTCTATGTGTGTGTGTGTGTGTATTGGTTAGGTATTCCATTATAATTTGTTGATTGTGTTTTTACAGTTTGTTTTTTAGTGGTTGCTCTAGAGATTACAATGTACTTTTCAGTTTACTTAGAATCAAAATTTTACTACTTCATGTGGCACATAAAAACTATCACCATACAGCCCCTTTACCACCCCACCCACTTTATGCTGTTGTTGTGTTATGTATTATGTTGTATGACATTCATTGAAAGCTCCATCACACAATGTTATACTTTGTGCTTTCAACTATCAAACATATTTAAAGAACTCAAGAGGATAAAAATGGTCTATTATATTTAATTAGATATTTGACAATTACATTGCTCTTCCTTACTGATGTTTCAAAGTTCCCTTATGGTATTATTTATCATCTATTGGAATAATTTCCTTTAGCAATTCTTTTAAAGCACTCCTGCTGTCAAAACATTCTTTAAGTTTTCCTTCATCTAAGAATGTCTTTATTTCACTTTCATCTCTGAAGGATACTTTTGCTGGATATGGAATTCTGGGTTGACAGTTCTTTTCTTTCAGCACTTTAAAAATGTTCTACTTACTTCTGGCCTGCATGTGTTCTGAAAATAGATTCACAGTCATTTGAACACTTTTCCCCTCTAAGTAATACTAAATTTTTCTGGCTGCTTTCAAGACTTTTTGTCTAAAGTTTTCTGAAATTTTATTAGTATGTGGCTGGTCATGGATTTCTTTGTATTTATTCTGTTTGGGGAGTTTGCTGAGCTTCTTAAAACTGTAAGTTTGTCTTTCAACAAATTCAACAAATACCAAACTCCCCTCTTGTTGGGATTCTCTTGTCACAAATGTGGGATTGAGGCACTCCTCTTTTTTAATTTTTTCTAATCTTTTTCTCTGTTGTTCACATTGGGTAATTTCAGTTCATCTATATTAAGTACATTGACTTCATCATCTTTTGTCATCTCTATTCTTTTTTTTTTTTTTTTTTTTAAGATTCTATTTATTTATTTGAGAGAGAGGGAGAGAAAGCAAGTGAGAGAACAGAGTATGAGTGGCAGGGAGGGGCAGAGGGAGAGGCAGAAGCAGACTCCTGGGATAGAGCTCCCTGAGCATGGAGCAGACTTGTGGCTGACTTGGGGCTCTATCCCAGGAGGCAGGGATCATGACCTGAGCTAAAGGCAGATGCTTAACCTATTTAGACACCCAGGTGCCCTGTCATCTCTATTCTATTGAGCTCATCTAGTGAGCTTTTAATTTTGGTTATTGATATTTTTTCACTTCTGAGATTTGTATTTGGTTCTTTTTTTATATCTTGTGTTTCTTTTTTTGAGACTTTATATTTTTCCAGTTGTTTCAAGAATGTTTGCTCTTACTTGGTGAAGCATTCTATAATCGTTGCTCTCATATCTTTAATATCTTCCTCAGATAGTTCCAGTGTCTGTGGTTTCTTGGTGTAGGCATCTTTTCTCATGTAAGTTGAGATTTTCCTGGTTCTTCATTTGCCCAGTAATTTTGGGCAGCTTGGTATGTTATGGTATGTTCAAATCCTATGCAGAATGTTGATATATTTTAGTAGGCAAATAACCCCATTAGGCTAAGACTGCAAGTTCCTGTGGGTTGTGTTTACAACATTAGTTCCATTTTCAAAGCCTTGGCCGTGCTCTTTGGATCTGTCCTACATGTGCACCACACATGGGTCAGTCTGGAATTTGGGTAGTGGTCTGTATCATAGTTCAAGTCTCAAAGTGTACGTGTTGCTTGTTCAGGTCAGATCCACCCATGGGCTGCTTGAGGGTGAGCCTGGGAATTCATTAAACAACTTGAAGCATTGCTTTCCTAAGCTCTTCCTTCTCTGGGATCTCCCAGTAATTTCTGATTCCCTGGGGCTCCCTTTTCTATCCTCTGATCAGAAAGCTTTATTCATCTCTAATGTGCATTCCCTACATGTGCCCATATCCAGGGCCAAGTGGCAGAACAACAGAGAAAAAGCAAACAGGGATTCACCACATCCTCTTTGGACCACAGCTCCTCTAATCAGAGAGGAAGGTTTCCCCTTCCTCAGAGTTTTAGGATTCTGATGGGCCTCTTTTGCCACAGCTGCTACAGGAGGCTGAGCTTGAGAGAATGAGGGAGGGATTTCCACACTTTCTTTGAGTAGAAGATCCCTTTCCCTCTCCTAGAGCCAGCACTAGACAGCTTTTACTGAAGTTTTCTCTGTACTAATGTCCACTTCCAGGTTTGGGGCTGTAGGATAACTGAACTGGAGGTTGCATACTGGAAAATGATGTTTCAGTGGTACTTCAAATTCTGGTCTTCCTACCCAATCTGTGCGCTTCCTATTTTAACTTTTCAAAGTTCTGAAGTAGCTTTTCCATGTGTTCTATCCAGGTCTTGTAGCTACCTTGACTTGGAGAGATGGGGTTGGAGTATGATTACCCCATTTTATCTGGAACTAGAACCTGACTTAAAAGTTTTAAATTTTATTTCTCTAGGAATTTGACAAGAAACTGCATTTTTGATCAAATATATTTTGAGTATGAAACCAGACATGTAACAAAGTTTAGATTCTTTCATTTGATTAAGGTAAGTTTGCTTAGTAAAATTAATCATACCCCCACTATATATTTTTAAACTTATATTTTAATGTGTGCTTTACTAACACATTTTACTTTTCAGTCTACCTGAGATTCTGACCTCAAAGTATTTTCATGGTTCCTTTACCATTTAAATAACTAATGTTTCATGTAACAACTTCCAGATACAAGAGGATATAATAACTTCCAGAAATGAGGGAACATGTGATTATTTGTTTACTGAGGGTGTTGTATATTGATAATCAGATCTGTTTGCCTGGTGCAGGAGTCAGCAAATTATGGCCCAAAGGCCAGCACCTGTTTTGGTAAATAGAATTTTATTGGAACATAGTCAAACCCATTCATTATATATTGTCTGTGGCTGCCTTAACACCACAGTGGCAGAGTTCATTAGTTGCAACAGTGTCTCTGTGGCCTGCAAGTCTAAAATCTAGCTCTTTAAGAAAAGTTTGCTGACTGAATCAGAGTATCTTGCTATGCCGTGTCATTATATGTTAATTGATAGCTAACTGATTTTAGGTATCAGTAAGTGTCGTCAGGTGTGAAAACTAATTAGTGATTATTTTTTAGAAAGAGGTGTTAATTTTCTGAAGTAATTGACTTTAAAAATAAGACAAAGCTATGAGCAATTAAATGCCAAGTAATTATTTCCAGTAGAAGTCTTCATTTTGCTTAGATTTAAAAAAGTAAAAGTTTATATGATAAAAGTCAAGTTTCTTCCTGTCTAAAAAAATTCACACAAATGTATTTAATATTATTTTCTTTCCTAGGAAATTTAAATAGAACTAGTAACATTTTGGAAGTAATCATTATGTGTTTTAATATCTGTCCTAGTAACACAAGTATTTTAGATTATATAAAGTTTTAATTGAAATAAAATTGATTCTCATATAAAACTGTTTTAGTTGCTAAAGTTGGAATTATGTTTCTAAAATTTATATTGAATCACTTATACCTGTTTGTGATTCCTAAAATTATGAGTATTTAAAAAACATAAGATAGAAGGAGAGATCAAAATTTGAGCCTAGACAGTTTATAAAATGTTTGCTAGGCTGCTCAGGATTCTCTTGACTAAAGAAAAACCTATTTTTTTACACATGGACATATAAATTAGGATTTTCAAGCAATATCAAATAAAGGAATTTCTCTCTTTTTTTTTGAAAACAAAATCTGAAAAATAAATTTTTTGCTAATTTCTAGGTAATATTAACAAAATAAAGTAAGTTTCTAAAGTCTTTACATCATAAGAACTATTTGATTTGAAAAACAGTCTCATATCATGCATGAAGCTGCGATACATTTAGCTTTCTAATAGACTTGGGTGAGGTATCTTGTGTTTTTATAAAGTGAATTTAAAACTTTTAAAAACTTACATTTTAAAGGAAGAAATCTAGAAATTTATCTGAAAAATATATTTTGTATTATATTGTCATTTTACATGTAAGTCAATATAGATTTAAAGCCTCTCTTCATTACTTATATATTTGAATTATGAAAGGTGGATAAAATAAGGCTACAGAAGAATTGATGGGACTCTTCGTAGCTTGAACATGTGAATGAGGCCACCTTAATATTAGCATGTTTAGCTGTGTTCTAAACTGAATTGGTTTGGAAAGTACCTGATTCATAGACTGAGACTTATGAATAAGAATTCCCTTTTAAATGATGGATGATATAAGAAGGTACTGCTAAAGCTTTTTGCTTCTATCAAAATCTTATCTGAAGATGTCTTTTCTTTTTTAGCTTCCCTGATTTATGTTTTGTTGTGGTCCTACCATACAAACTTAGATTAGTTTTTTCTGAGTCAACATAAAATACTTCATTTTAAAAATCAGCTACTGGGGGCGCCTGGGTGGCTCAGTTGTTGAGCGTCTGCCTTTGGCTCAGGTCATGATCTCAGGGTCCTGGGATCGAGCCCCACATTGGGCTCCCTGCTTGGCGGGAAGCCTGCTTCTCCCTCCCCCACTTCCCGTGCTTGTGTTCCCTCTCTCTCTGTCTCTCTCTCTGTCAGATAAATAAATAAAATCTTAAAAAAAAAAATCAGCTACTGAGTCATTGCTAATTTGACATTATTACTGCAGTTAGATATGTGTGTTGAAGACAGAGACAGATTTTCTTCTTTAAATTGAATATGCTTCTTGCTTTTTGGAGTTATATATGTCTGGATAAGAAAGGGCTTGGGTGGATTAGTTAGGAATTTTTTTTGAATGTCAATGTCTTAGTCCATTTGGGCTGTTAAAACAATAACAAAAGCTGCATAGCTTATAAACTATAGAAATTTATTTCTCACAGTTCCGGAGGCTGGGAAGTTCAAGATCAGTGCCAGCAGATTTAGTGTCTAGTAAGGACTTGCTTTCTGGTTCATAGACATGTTTTTTTGCTGTGTCTCACATAGTGGAAGGGGTGAGGGAGCTCTCTGGGGCCTTCTTTATAAGGGCACTAATCTCATTCATGAGGGCTCTCCTTTCATGACCTGATCACCTCCCAAAGGCCCCACCTCGAAGTACCATCACATTGGTGGTTAGGATTTCAATATGAATTTCTGGGGGACACAAACATTCAGTCAAATTTTTAATTTCATAGGCCCTGATCAAATGTCACTGTATAGTCTTTAGGACAGTAAAGAAACTAATATGGAAATGAGCCTTTAAGGTTTATCCTCACAGGAGATAATGCAAAAACATGTTACTTTAATTGATCACTATGGGATTTTCTTAAACTTTAAGAAATATATTTCTTAATATATATATTATATTTTATATATATTTTATATATAATATTATAATATGTAATATATTATATTTTTATATATTTATATATATAATATGTATTTTTTAAGTCCCTTCTTTATACATATTTTATTTTCTACCAAATAAACTCTTAAATTTTATTTACAAAATTTGCTATCAAGGAAGGTATACATACTTTTGAAAGAGGAATAGAGACTATTTTTTTTTTTAAGATTCCCCCTTTTTAAAACAACTTGTTACTTTGGAATAATTTTAGATGTAGAAATACGTTCTAAAGATAGTATATAGTTTTTCTATATTATTCACTCAGCTTTCCCTAATGTTAACATATTATGTAGCCTTGGTATAGTGATCAAAACTAATCAACATAGACTACTAAACTGTGGACTTTATTAGAATTTCACCAATGTTTCCACTAATGTTCTTTTTCCAGAATCCCACATTACATTTATTTGTTATATTTCCTTCGTTTCCTCCAATCATTGACAGTTCCTCAGTCTTTCCTTATCTTTCGTTCACACTTTGGAAGACCACTGGTCAGGTAGACCTTTGTAGAATGTCATTCAGTGTGGTTTTCTCTGATGTTTTCTCATGGTTAAAATGAACTTAGAGATTTTGGAAAAGAATGCCAGAGAGGTGATGTGTCCTTCTCAGCATATGATAATCAGGGGTTATGTGATGTCAGCATGTCTCATTCCTGGTGATTTTATTAACCTTTATCACCTGGTTACGGAGGTGTCTGCTAGATTTCTCCACTGTAAAGTTACTGTTTTTCCCTTAATAAATATTTTGGTGAAAATACTTTGAAGTTACACAAATAGCCTGTTTCTTTTTAAAAATTTGGCCACTAATTTTAGCATTGATTGGTGGATCTTGCCTGAAGCAGTGATTAGTCTGATATTTTGATGGTGATTTATTTATCTATTTATTTATCTATTCCACTCCTTATACATTTATTAATTATAATTCTGTAAGAAAAAGTCCTTCCCCACATTCATTTATTTTATTTAATCATTTATTTATATCCATACACACTCACTGATTTTTATTTTATTCTCTGGATTAGGATCAGTACTAGCATTGGTATCTCCCAAAGCCTAGCAAGTACTTATGCCTTTAGTTAGCTTTTTCCAGAATTTCATATAAATGGACTCTCATAATGTGTAGCCTCTTAGGACCTGTTTCTTTCACTTAATGGAACGCATTTAATATTCATTTATCTATTGTATAAATCACTAGTTTGTTCCTTTTTATTGCCATGTAGCATTCCATTGTAGCATACCAGAGTTTGTTTATCCACTTACCTGCTGAGAGACATCTGGGTTGTTTCCAGCTTTGGGCAATTACGAATAAAGCTATTACATTTACATGAAGGGTTGTTTTTTTGTTTTGTTTTGTTTTTGTTTTTGTATTTTTTGTGTGTGGGTTTTGGTTTTGATTGTGGTTTTGTTTTCACTTGGGTAAATACTTAAGAGTGGGATTATGGACTTTAAGTATATATTCAATTTTCTAAGAAACTGCCTAACTTTTTTCCAAGTGGCTGTACAATTTTGCATTCTTACCACCAGAGTATGAGAGTTCCTATTGCTCTGTATCCTCTTCAACACATTGGTATTATCAGTTTGTTTTTGTCTTTTCTGTTCTAATATATGTGTAGTGGTTTTAATTTGCATTTCTTAAATGACTAATAATGTTAATATGCAATCCATGTTTGTGAATGGGTAGCTGGTCCCTTTTATTTCTCTTGATTTTCTCCTTTTATGATCAACCAGGTGGGTAGAGTCTTCTCCAATATAGTTTTGATTGAATTAGTTGCTATCATCTCTGTTTAGCTATATTTCATAATAAATACACATTTCCATATATGAGTTTTGGCTTTCTCTACTTACTATGGTGGAATGAATATAAGTTTTTATATAGCTGAGTATTTGAATGATAATTTCATTATTGTCTAAAGCTAGATTGCTTTATAAGAATCTATTCATAGATTACATCTGTGACTCAATACACTTGTAAGGCAAGGGAAAATGTAAGAAATTCTGTTAGTGCTAGAGGTTGCTTTGGATTGACAAATGTCACTGTAGAAAAAGAAATCTTAGGGTCTTTAGTGAGATCTTTTTCCCCTTTGACTATCAAATGAACAAGCAAACCTGATACTCTCTTGGGATATCTGTCAACGTATTCAGCCTTTGTTATATTCTTATAACTAATCAGTTAATATTAGGTGAAAGAGATTAGA